AGTAAATGGATGTTTTTTAAATAAACGCTACTTAACATTTGTGGTTATGAAGGACAGATCTAACCAAACAAACCTACCTAACCTAACTTCCCCGGTATATTAAACAGAAAAAAAACTTACTATACTGTGATATTTGAGACATTTTCTGGACGTGAGATGATACAGCAGCATCGGCACTATGGCGGGTTAGTCCTACAGTGAGTTCTGCTATAACGCGTGTTTTGATAACGCGAATTTGCTCTAACGCGATTTATGAATTAGGAACGGTATTTGTATAACGCGAACGCTTGTTTGCTATAACGCGATTTTTGCTTACTATTTCTCCAATTTTGTGGTACTGTATTAACTGTGAATATAGTAAAGAAGAATATCAACAAGAAGCGTTCTGGTGATAGAATTCCCGGTGATGATCGTAAAAGAAAGGATATAACACTTGAAGAGAAGCTCGATTTTATCAACCTCAAAATCACCCTTCTCCCCCATCAAGTAAAGTGTTACATTTACTGTATGATTTCATTATTAGATATGAATGTAACATTTATTTAGACTGTGTTAGGCTAACTACTAAATTTTTTCGATTTCAAGTAATCTGCACCTAACCCTATTTTCTCCAGAAGCCCTGTTATTTCTATTACGCGATTTTCTATAACACGATATTTTACAAGAACACAATTATCGCGTTATAGCAGAACTACCTGTATATATTAACCAAGGTGGGATTTTGGGAAAGATTTTTTTTATTTACTTGAAGTAAAAAAAATTTGGTTATAAGAATGTGGTACTTTTTATTTATGGTTAAATTACAGTTTGTAGTAAAAAATTAGCTTCTGAGACATTTTGGGAACTTTACTGTAAAGTTGCAGTTTAGTTTTTGACAATAAATTGACTTTTTTCTCACTGTATTTGGTGGGATCCTAACCTAACCAAATCATGTGTCCGATGGTATATTAATTCTCTGGGAAAGGAAAAATCACAAGACGCTTCACAATATCGGCGTTTATAGATAATTAAACCCTTATGGCAGTGGGATATAATTTGTGAATTTACCAGGTGTTATCCATTAGTGACTAGTAAGTGGTATTATGAAAGTTGTTGACCAGAGTTAACTTGTAGTGAAGCCAAGTTTTGTCTTTTCATGGGAGTTCAAAATACATTACCACAGTATTTACATTATTGGCTTTTATACAATTGTTTTTGTCTTTATACATTTTATTCATTACTTTGTTTACAGTTGACGGCTCCAATTGGTTGTTACTGTAGTGCTAAGACAACTACCATATTGCTGCCTCGCTGATCGTGGTTAATGAAGTTCCTCGTGTCATTCGTCGAGGTAAGATTTTCTAAAGTGTTTCTTTATTTTTCTTTAATAAGTTTTATGGAAATTTCTTAATTTAACCATAATATTGTATTTAAATGTTTGAAGATTTAATGAGTTCCTGTATAATATAATACTGTACAGTACTGTATACATATTATATAATATTACTGCCCAGAGTATTTAATTTATTAGTTGTTAAAATGTTATTCATTCCAGGACGGTGCCGTGAAGATGTAAGATATGGGCCACAAGACGAAGGTTTGTTTTGGTTTGCGGGTCTCTTGCTGCACCACATTGGAAACTTTCTGCTATAACATAAGGTACAGTACAGTGTATATCTTTGTGGCTTTAGTTTTTATAAGGATCTGGGATCACCGTTTAAAAATTCAAGTAATTGTGTTAATGACCTTTGAAATAATTAGATATTTTAAGTAGATTACGCTGTGCCCGTAAGTTTTAAAAGGCCTTTATGGATGGTCTTAAATATGTTGATCATCTTTACTGTATGAAGTTAGTTTCACTTTGTCAAAATATTTGTCAAATATGCCTGACCTAATACCTTTGTCTTCAGCACTTGGGGTAAAACAGTAGTTTAAATATCCTTCAAAGGTACAGGGTGTTAGATGTTCTGGGTAATAAGTTCTATATACAGGAGAGAACACAAACACCTGTATAGTTTTGTAGGTTCGGTTTACTGGATAAGAGTATGTACACAGAGGTGGATAGCACTGCTCCCTAGCTGAGGTCCTGGTCAACTACCATAGACGACGTATGGCAAGTGATACATTAGCAGCTTCCATACGTCGCCAGGCACATTAATTAAGCGTGTGGGATATGGTAATAACATTGCCACACGCTGCTAGCTAGGCTGAATAAATATAAATGGAGCACATACATAATATACATACATAATACATAATCCAGCATACATAATATACATACACCTCCCTCCCCCTATACGCTCATAGCAAAGTCTTGAGCGGACCTTTTCTTCTGGATCCGTTCTGAGCGTCGAGGGACTTCATCACTGGGAAGGGTATGGGACTCAACACTGGTGGCAGGGCCAGCAGAAGGCATTGTTACGGGGCGGAGAAAACGGCGGTTCCTCCACCACACACGACCACTGGGTAACCGCACCTGGTAGTCCCGTGACCTGCCGAGACCCATGACTACGCCTACTTTGTCCCAACGTAGGGAGGTCGGGTCCTGAACACGGACTTGGGTGCCGACACTCAACCTGGGGAGAGAACGGGCGTGGTCGTTGTAGCGGGCGACGACGTCCTGAACACGTTCGGCGGCTCGGCGATCACAATCCTCTGTCTTGGCCTGCCACTCCTTGGAGAAGGATTGAGGGTGAGCAGGGACACAAGAACGAAGGGGGCGTCCATACAAAACCTGGGCAGGGGAGCGTCCGGTGTAGTTAGGTGTGTTGCGGAGTTCAAGAAGACCCCGGTCGAAGGCCTCGCAGTCAATATTCCCAGAAGGGGCCACCTTAAGGATGAGGTGCTTCAAGGATTTGACAGCAGCCTCAGCGTGGCCGTTGGACTGCGGGTAATGGGGCGATGACAACACATGCCGGACTCCCCATCGGTCGAGGAACACAGCAAAGTCCCGGCTTGTGAACTGAGGCCCTCCGTCGGTTCGCAGGCGTACAGGAACGCCCACGTCACGGAAGTAGTGGCGGAACTTGCTGATGGTGGCGGCAGACGTCGTGTCATTACCGCCCTTGATGACAACCGGCCAACCAGAGAGACGGTCGACGATAACCAGGAAGGACTTTCCTGACACACAGAAAAAGTCGGCCGACACAGACTCAAAGGGGCGGGTGGGGTTGTCGTCACTCATGAAGGGTACCTGCTGCTGGCTGGGTTGTAATACGTGGCGGGGCTTACACACCTGGACAGCATTGGAGATGTCGGGGTCGATGCCAGGCCGGAACACAGTCTGTCGTGCACGTCGTTTGGTGGCCTCAGCTCCACGGTGACTGTCGTGAAGGCGAGCCAAGGCGTGGGGACGTGATGCAGCAGGGACAACTACCGAAGGAGAGGTGTCACTGGCCAGAGGTAGGGGTAGGGCGGCAGCAGGGTAGTTGCTGCTCCCTTCGTGCACCCTGTTGGCGTGTCTTACCTCAAGAATAGGTTTGGGGAAGTCCTGGGAGATGATGGCCAACTCTTGACAATGTCTGTAGGACAGCAAAGGAGTCGGGACACCGTTATGCACATCAATCCAGGCTTGACACGACCTGTTGCCAAAGGTGACTTGTGCTTGGAGTGAACCCAGGGCCGGGGTCATCTGTGAACCATCTGCCATAAAGCGGAGATCCTTGGGGGGCGGTCCTAGATCACTTGGAGAGAGCCCAAGCATTGCAAATGCTGGGGACCGATGACTGTAGCATCAGCGCCGGTGTCGGGCAACATCTGGAGACGGGATGACACACTGCGGTAGGTCACAATGACACTGATGTACTGGGGAACTTTGGTCCTGGGACGCGGGGGGGAGCACACATTCCTAATATGGCTCCAGCGTTGTCCAGGGTCGTCGTGCCTCTGATTGGAAGACTGTGGGCGGCCCTCTCTGGTAGAAGGGCGCTGAAGCTTCCGTTGACGCTGTTCCTTGGGTTTGTTGGAAGGGCAACACTTGTCATAGTGGCCCAGACGGCCGCACACATTGCACTGGACGCGTCTGGCTGGGCACCGTACTGTGAGTGACCAGTGGCCCTTACGGTCACAACTGTTGCAGGTAGACTGAGCAGCTGGACATACCTGTGTTCCGTGCTGCTTACCACAGTTGTTGCAAAATGAACCGGGCGTGGGCGTGGTGGGCGAAGGCGTAGGAGCAGACTTCTTGTCCTTCTTGTACCGGGAAACAGCGCGTACAGCTGTAGGGGGAGCTCGGATGGCAGAGGTGGCACACCTGGCAGCCTCATAGGAGCGACATATCGTCAACACATCCTGAAGAGAAGAGGAAGAGTCGAGGGAGGTGAGGCGTTGGACAAGTTCCTGGTGTAACACCCATCAGGATCCCACCCTGGCTAGCTGGATTCTCTCGCACTGCTGGTGGTGGCTCTGTGTCTTATCTACCTCTTCGAGGGGCTCTCTTAAGGCATTACACCAAAAGAAAATCAAAAGACTCACCTCCATCTGTCTGCAGCTAAACAATTCCTCCTCATGAAACCTGTTCTGCTGTCCTTTGATGTGCCGTTGTAGAACGTCCAGTACCTCCTCTACAGACAGCGAAGAGGTTGGGGGTACCTGCAACGTATGTTCTAAGACCCGCTGAACTTCCAAGGACAGGCACATACGCAGCTGGATGAGTTGTTTAGGCTGTGACAAACTCTGGAGATCCACCATTGTAGCATAATCAGCCCACCGCCGCCGCCATTCGCGAAAAGTCTGGAAATTTACATCAGGCTCCAAGATGGGCGGTGTTTGGGCTGCTGCTTTAGGTGGGGCTGGGGGGCGTGAAGGAAGCATGGATGAGGTATCTGAACCATTCAGTACCGAGGCAGTGTTAGAGCCAGGGGCTTGGTTAACAGTGAGGCGAGATATCAAGGCTTCAAACCGTGCACTGTCTTCCATTCTCCGTTGGTGGTCTCGTTCTGCCTCTGCTTGCCTTCTGTGCTCATCCACCAAACGTCTGTGAGCTTCATCCTCGCGTCTCTCATCTCTCATAAACTTCATTAAGGCAATTATCTCTGGAGATAACGCTGAATGTTGAGGTGAAGGGCTGCGCGATGTTGTGGGAGCTGGGCCGGCCTGGTCATCCATCTCTGGGAGACTATCATCCGCTTGACTCATCCAGGCGCTGGGTCCACGGCTACGTAAGGCATGAGACATAACTACTTTATCTGTGTACTGTGTCTTAAATCAGTGTTGACCGGTCAGCCCGTCGTATCAACAAGATTTCAGACAAAAAATTAATTAAATACACAGATAAGTAGGTTATATATATAAAATATATATAAGGCAATCGCCGCGGTCAGTGTGTTAGCACATGTATGTGTGTGTGCGCGCCTTGGGCAGCGTCTCGCTGGGAGGGAGAGGAGGGAGAAGCGCGGCGACTCACGGTCAGTCCAGTTACCCTCAGGACGCGGTCAGAGTAGGGTGCACTGAACTCTACTCCTCACAAATGCCCAGAACATGCCGTATACCTTGGAAATCCTTTTAAAACAAGGTCACACATGAATGGCACGAAACACACAATGCATAACGCTACAGAAATCACTATCACTGGCAGCTGTAAAGGATGCAGAAATTCTTGAGGATATGAGTTGAAAGCCCAAAGGGATCCATCAACCGGCTTTCCACAAACTTACTAATCACCATGTAATAATCCAGTAAAACTACGCTTTTCGCCATATTAGAATGTTCTGGGTAACCGGTTCTATACAGGAAAGGCACAAAACACCTGTATAGTTTGTAGGATTCGGTTTACTGAATGGAAATATGTACACACGAAATTAGATGCCTGCTCCCTAAGCTGAGGTCCTAGTCCTTCTATGAAGCGGCAGTATAGCCGTGTTACGTAGCAGCTTCCATACGTCGCCAGGCACATTAATTAAGCGTGTGGGATATGGTAATAACATTGCCACACGCTGCTAGCTAGGCTGAATAAATATAAATGGAGCACATACATAATATACATACATAATACATAATCCAGCATACATAATATACATACACAGGGTACTACTTTACCTGATTTTAAATCTGGGTTCACAAATAAGTTATTGTGTTATTGACATTTTTAAGCAATTAGATATTTAAAGTAGATTATTTGGGCTTTGCCCGTATTTTTTAAAAGGCCTTCATATACGTTTTAAAAATATAGACTATTGGGGTGTCGACTGCATGGGAAAGCCACGAAACTTTACAAACAAATGGGGTATTTTATTTGGGTTAAGTTATACTTAAATATAGTTTTTTGGCATCAATCTTGGCATAAATTAATGCTGTACTGTATAATAGGTAAATAATTATTGTACTTTTTGGAACATTCCACAACAATAATGATGATAGTTCAAGTTAGTGATCAAATATTACAGGTTATACCTACTGCTGTGAGTATTGTCCAGTGAATTGTTCTTATAATGGACTTGTTCCACATTAATAAAGGTTCATATAGGTGGATAGTGGAGTGTTGACCCATGTTAGGTTAAGGTTGTCACAAGGGAGGGTCGCTAAAATATCTTCAGTGGTCCCTCCATTAACCAACACAATTGGTTCCACGGAGTCGTTTGTTAACTGAATCTATATACTGTAGTGTTATATATTAATAAAATATTAATAAATAAACTTAAAATAGTTAAACACAAAATGTCAAGCTATTCGGTTCTCCAGCCACTGACTTAAGTTTAGTTTAATATTAATATATGTCTATTAGCGGTAATTTAATCAATAATCAAACATTATAATGAAAGTATAATTTATTTATATTATGTAATATTTAATAATAAAATACTTTTATTATAGTATTAATAATGAAAACTTGTAGCTACTGAAAGATAAGAGAGAGAATCGGACAAGGTGTAGCAGGTCAACATCAACCAAGGTGGCCGTCTTGTTTATTGTTGTTAATTTTGTGAGTAAATGTTAATTTGTGGGCCTTCCTCCCTCCCTCGTGGTAAACGTAATAAATGCTTTATGTTATGTCGTTGATATAAACATACATTAGAATGTTTGAGTTAAAGGTTGGTTATCCGAGATGGTCCGTGTTGGTATTTGATGGGCCGAGTTGGAGGCACAGAGGTCACACTATAATAACCCGTTATAGTACATCCTTCTTTACTCACACAGCCAAACTGTGTCTGTGTGGATGTGGGTCACACTATAATAACCAGTTATAGTACAGTACATCCTTCTTTACTCACACAGCCAAACTGTGTCTGTGTGGATGTGGGTCACACTATTATAACCCGTTATAGTACATCCTTCTTTACTCACACTGTTGAATGCTCTGCCTTCTTCTGTGTTTCCATACTCATACAATCTGTCTCACTTCAAAAAGCTGGTTTTCTGGCATCCTCGCGGTGTACATTAATATAACCTTTTTATTTTATATTTTTATTTTATTTTTACTCTTTTTTTACACAATTTGATTTAGTCACTTGTAGTTTTCATTTATAAATTGTACTTTTATACGAATATTATCTAAGGCAAAATATTTTGTTTCAGATATTGTGATGTAACATCTCAAGACCAAGTGTAACTAAGTAGAAGTTCACAATGTCAAGCAGAGATGAAAAGCTCTCCTGTGAGGAATGTGGCAAAGAGTTTGGCTTCAAGTCTTCTCTTGAGAAACATTTACTTGTACACAATGGTGTGAAGGAGTTTGAATGTGAGGAATGTGGGAAATGTTTCTCCCAGAAGGGTACTCTCAAGACACACATTCTTGTACACAATGGTGTGAAGGAGTTTGAATGTGAGGAATGTGGGAAATGTTTCTCCCAGAAGAGTAATCTCAAGACACACATTCTTGTACACAATGGTGAGAAGGAGTTTGAATGTGAGGAATGTGAGAAATGTTTCTCCCATAAGAGTACTCTCAAGACACACATTCTTGTACACAATGGTGTGATGAAGTTTGAATGTGAGGAATGTGGGAAATGTTTCTCCCGGAAGGGTAATCTCAAGACACACATTCTTGGACACAGTAGTATAAAGGAGTTTGAATGTGAGGAATGTGGGAAATGTTTCTCCCATAAGAGTACTCTCAAGACACACATTCTTGTACACAATGGTGTGAAGAAGTTTGAATGTGAGGAATGTGGGAAATGTTTCTCCCGGAAGAGTAATCTCAAGACGCACATTCTTGAACACAATGGTGTGAAGGAGATTGAATGTGAGGAATGTGAGAAATGTTTCTCCCATAAGAGTGCTCTCAAGACACACATTCTTGTACACAATGGTGTGAAGGAGTTTGAATGTGAGGAATGTGGGAAATGTTTCTCCCGGAAGAGTACTCTAAAGACACACATTCTTGAACACAATGGTGTGAAGGAGTTTGAATGTGAGGAATGTGGGAAATGTTTCTCCCGGAAGAGTACTCTAAAGACACACATTCTTGGACACAATGGTGTGAAGGAGTTTGAATGTGAGGAATGTGGGAAATGTTTCTCCCAGAAGAGTACTCTAAAGACACACATTCTTGGACACAATGGTTTGAAGGAGTTTGAATGTGAGGAATGTGGGAAATGTTTCTCCCAGAAGAGTCATCTCAAGGCACATATTCTTGGACACAATGGTGTGAAGGAGTTTGAATGTGTGGAATGTGGGAAATGTTTCTCCCGGAAGAGTAATCTCAAGACACACTTTCTTGAACACAATGGTGTGAAGGAGTTTGAATGTAAGGAATGTGGGAAAAGTTTCACCCGGAAGAGTACTCTCAAAACACACATTCTTGGACACAGTGGTATAAAGAAGTTTAAATGTGAGGAATGTGGGAAATGTTTCTCCCTGAAGGGTCATCTCAAGACACACATTCTTGTACTACACATTGGTATAAAGGAGTTTGAATGTGAGG